CGGGAAGACTTGGAATCCTGGGTAGGCCCTAGCGAGCGAGCCCCAGCCCGCGGGGGCACCCCTCCTGAGCCCTCCCACCCTCCGCGGAGACCCAGGCCGGTCTCAATCTACCCCCAGTTCCCAACCGGCGCTCTCACTCTCCTAAGGCATTTGACGGTGGAAGCCCATCTATCCGGTGAGATAACTGAGGCCAGGAGCAGACACGTGATCTGGGTTGGAATCTGACCTTGCTGAGCCTAGGTTTTCTCCTACATAGAACAGGAACAATGAACACCAGTGCTGATTTTGCAGCTCTTGTATGGACCCTCCCTAGTCCAGTGCCTGGCACAGAACACGGACTTGGAAATGATCAGTTACATGATTTCATTTCTGCGTCGTTCACAGACTTTTACAATCTCACGTGAGCCTCACACATAGAAGTAGGCCAACGGGGAACAGACCCAAAGACTGTTACCCAGCCACACAGCTTGCCAAGAGGTTTGAGTGCGGGGCTCTGCAGCGCAGGCCCCCTGGGTTCTGAATCCTGTTCTTTTCCCATGAAGCAGGCAGGGTGATGTCAGCAATTCCGCTGGAGGGCTGTTTTATCTTTTTTAAAATATATATCTTATTGACTTTTTTACAGAGAGGAAGGGAGAAGGATAGAGAGTTAGAAACATCGATGAGAAACATCCATCAGCTGCCTCCCGCCCCCCCGCCACTGGGGATGTGCCTGCAACCAAGATACATGCCTTTGACCAGAATCTAACCTGGGACCCTTCAGTCTGCAGGCCCACTCTCTTATCTACTGAGCCAAACCGGTTAGGGCTGTTTTATCTTTTATCCAGAGGACAGCAGCAGGTTGAGAATTTATTGTTGCTGCCTGTCAGAAGGCCCAGATGTCAGGCCCTACCAGGGCCTAAAAGGGCAGATATTACTAGTCATACTAGGGAACAAATAAAGGCAGGCAGTAGTCCCTATGCATTTTGAATGGCACAGGAGAGGAGTCCGGGGAAACAGATTTGGTGGAAAACACACTCCCTGCCCTCCCCGCGTGCAGAAGGGGCAGGGCTCGCATTTCTTGAGGTTCCATTGCGTCA